TCCACAGATCAGTGCCCAGGTTCAATGGGATGGTGGAAAATCACATCAGACTGACCTGGGCTGGCACCAGCACCATTACAGCTTCTGGAGCATGTGTGGGGAAGCACATTGACGTTTAAAAAAATTTGTAAAATGTTCTGCAGCCTGGATTTGGTCAAAAAAATGACCTGTGCTGGTGCCTGCCTAGTCGGGGATAATCTGGGACTGTTTCTGATAATCACAAATGCAGGCCTCTTTAGCAGACCTTTTAAAACTTTGTCAGACACCTAAAAAACATGAATACTTTCTTTTAGGTCATCCTGTGTCTTATGAAATGTTGATCCAAACTTTGCTTGACCATTATGATTCATTTAGGGTTCTTGTTAACTTTCCTACCCCATTCCTGAATGGAAATCTTCATTTTCCTCTATGTAAACATCGTTCAGCCCAGCTGTATGATTACAGCAGGCAGATGTATGATTACAGATGGGCACAGTCCACGTGGGAGAAACCATCCTAAAGGCTTGGGGTATCTGAGCACCTCTCTGGGATCCATCTCTGCTTGACTAACATCTTCTGTGTTTGGAGTCAAATGTCACCATCCCTAAGGAATTTGCCTTGGAGGTCTGTTTTGGTTTGTCCTTGTTTGGCAAAGTGTGAGGCTCATGGTTGTCATGCATTTGAGAAATGAGTGCAGGTTTCTTTACAGATGGGCCTTTTCTATGATGTCTTGTTGTGCAGCGACTGTAAAATATCTTAAGTTTTCATAGGACACAAGGGCCACTTCCCAAGGCTGGTGGAGGTATCTCTGCTGTAGTGGGGTCCTGCCAGCTGCTCTCCTCTCCTTTCTGCTCCCTCTGGACAAGAACAGCAGTTCATGAATAGCCAGCAAATGCAGTAAAATGGTTTCTGGAGTGATTTATGAATGGCTGCTGGTTCTCCAGTGTGATGTTTGGGTGTAGAAGGACAGAAGTCACTGCTGAAATGACTGTGTCATTTCCCCAGCAGCTCTGTGCTCTCCCCCCCAGCCCAGCAGCTCTGGCTGGCGCTGGAAGCGTGAGAGGTGTTGGGCTGTCACTGGAGCGGATGTGCTCTGACCACAGCACAGGGGCTGAGGAAATGACAGAAGGACTTAAAAGTCCTCAGAGCACCAGCCCAGACTGACACTCTGGGATCAGTAACGGTGACACTGGAAAGTTCTTAATAAATGAGATTATAATCAAGGACTTGGGGGAAAAAAAAACATTCCCTTTGAGTAGCTCTGGTGTGGCTGGCTGGAAGTGCAAGCCACCTGACAAGGGTGACAGCAGTGTGGTGCAAGTCACAGCAAAGAGGTGAGGGAATGACAGTGAGGACATTTGGCCTCGGGCCATCATCAGGGCATCAACTCCTTATTCACAGAGGGTGGCAGAGTCCTAAAAATGTCTTAAATAGCTTTGAGGCTTCGACAGAAGCATTGGCAGGATGGTGAGGCTGACACTGAGCAAATAAACATTAGTAGTCAGAGTTTAACCTACAAAATGGATGAGGGAAAGTTGTTGGAAACAAACTCAGGGGACAGAAAATTTGTTATTGTGGCTTTTGCCTGCTTTTGGGATGAACAGTGTTGTACAATGCTTTCCTCAGGATAGGGAAGGACAGCTGGGGAACATTTTAAGTTACATTAGAGAGAGACAGTAAGAATTAGATTCTTTCTGCTGTAGAAGGATGTTGGTTGACCTGCTAGAACAGCTCTCCCTGCAGCAGGGTGAGTTTTTGTTTCACCATCAGAGCTTATGCAAACAGGCAGGACAGTGCTCGAGGGAGCAGGAGCAGGGATCATGGGGCATGGTGGAGAGAAAACCTGTACTTAGAGAAGGCAAATAGGGTTTGGGAATAACTGGATAAAAATGCAAGAAAACTAACAGATGTACCCAATTCTCAACTGCCTGTCTGCAAACTTCATACAGAAAAGAGAAGCAAAGTCACATCTGGAGAGAGGTCTATTCCATTATTTTAAAATAGACCAGAACGGATGCATTAGCAATATGATAAATATCTTCAGAGTAAATTCTTCCCTTGCCCGTATTCCTCAGTGGGTCACCTCTTCTTTATATTCTGTTTCCTCATTTCTCTTATTTTGTCCTTGAAGGAAATGCTCCTCATGTGTGAACACAGCTGGTTTTGGTAGGGCTGTGAGGAGGCAGAGTTTGCCTTTGAGTTCTTCCCTCACACAGGAAAGGAAAACTGGCTCCTCAGAGACATTGTGGATGATATTGGCAGTAGTAACTTGTTTCTGGCCATGGTACATGGTTTTAATTATGCTTTTTTACTTGTCTGCCTTATGAAAGCCTATCCAAATGCTCTCTTTTTTTTTTTTTATTTTTAGAAGTGCCACCATAGATAAATGAACATCAGCTGTCCTGAGTGCAAATAATTTGCTCAAAATCCAACATGTTTCAGTGTCTTTTGGCAATATATCATGCCTGCTGCCCAGTGAGACTTTGGTGAGCACAGGGGAGCTGTTTTCCCTTCTGTTTGTTTGATCTGGCTAATTTAACTGCTGGTCATTCATCCTTACTTAGTTTCGCCCTTCTTGGCTTTTTGTGACCATTAGAATTGGAATAATTACTGTGAGGTTTTTTTCTTGCTTTTAAACATTTATAACATCCACTTAGGAAAAAAATACGGTCAAATGTGTTCTGTTCTGATCTTCCGCTACCACAATAGAAATTAATCCACTTCTAGCACTTGGAGGGCAGGAGGCAAAGCTGCAATATTGGTTTGGGATTATCCATTCCTGTCTGCCAGCTCATCTGTGTCATGACCTTTGCTTGTTGTCCAGTGGGATTTTGCTTTTGGGGCAGTTTTGGTTTTTAATTTTTTTTTTCTAATGGGCACAAACAGGAGGAGAAGAGAGGCACAGGACAGGTTGGCAGGGTATGGTTTTGTGGTTTTGGTTGCTGTCACTGATGCAGTGGTCTGGGTGTCTGGTAAATCACGACTTTACACCCAGGTTCACCATGCTTGTTGCTGGAGTACAGCCTCCTTTCTTGGCCTGGACTGCAGCAGGGATGGAAATCTAAAACAGAATTGTTGCCCCTCTTTCCCATTTTTAAACTGACAAATAAAGTTCAGGCACAGTGCAGGTCCCTGAAGAGCCATTTCTTCTGCCTTTCACAAGTACGTGAAGGGAAGGTTTTAAATCCTGAGAACAGTTGCTTTCTTGTAAGAGGGGATTACACCAAATTTAACAAAGCTGGAGCTCTCATTTTACTGATTATTTCAAGAGAATTTATGCAGAAATCTTGTTACCCCACTGTAGGTTTATATTACAGCAGACTTCACTTCCCAAGAGGAGACAGAGTCTGTACTTCCAAAAAATCCTTGGCCTTGCATTTTTGCAGCCATAGCATCAGTGGCTCAGATGATATTTTGAATAAAATCTGAAACGGTGCCTGGAAGGGTCATCCTGGCATGTGGAGCCCCTTGATAGAACAAACATTTCCACACCTGCCCATGTTCTGCACTTGCAATGGTGTCCACACAGGCAGGCGTGCAAGGGCCTCCAGGGAGGGCTGAGGGAAAGTGCAAGTGCTCCAGGTACCTGAAAACCAAGAGCATGGTGAGCTGATAATTTTGCCTGCTTTGTTTCACTTGCGTCCTTTGTTAACAAAGAACAGTCTAGAGGGAAATAGTCTATTATTAATATTTAATTTCCTCCTATTACTGTAAGCAGATGACCTAAAAGATCATTTAGGCAGCAGCCAATAATAAAGCAAAGAGAGGGATCAGAAAACGTATGTCTTGGTTAGGTGGGTGATGCTCCTTCCTCCTCTTTCCTGCCCCACCCAGCCCCAGCTCTTCATCCTTCCATGGGAGGCAGGGCTGAGGATGCTCCCCATGGCTGTGTGTGAGCAGTCAGGGACCCAGGGAAGCTGCTCTACCTGAAGTATTCAGAAAATACCAAACTACAGAAAGGAAGCCCTTGAGCAACACAGAGAAGCGCTCCTGCTGCCTTCCCTATCCCTCTCCCCAAAGGACACCTGTTTTCATTATGTTTTACAGCCAGGGTTGTTTTGCAAATTTGTGTTCTGCCTGTGAGCACATTGGCTCGTTTATTGTGACTTGATCCTCTGAAGTGGTGGGGAGAGACAAGATTTCTTGGAATCTTTGATTGAAAAGATAGGGAGCTTCTCTTTGAGCTGAAGGGATTTCAAAGAGAGGATAAAAACTGACAAGCATCTCCCCCTCCAGGCTTTGGAAAGTAGGAAACAAATGATTTAGCAGCATCAATTTTTCTGCTTAGGGCCATGTGTGAATTCAAGGATTTTCCCTAAGGGAATTGGGTAATCTGCATGTGGCTGGTACCTGGGAAGGGTCATGTTGTCAAAAAGAGATGCAAGATTGTGATCTGTGGAATGAGCCTTGATGATCACCCCCCTGGCCCCCTGAAGCTGCCTGCTGCCTCTCCTGCCCCATCCTAGAGCAGATACAGAAACCAAACCCCTCTGGGGCCCAGGGAAGCTGCAGTCTGTCACCTACGTGCCCACAGACTGTCTTGGGTGCCCTGAGGGCTGCTGATCATCTGGAGTTTTTGCTAATACGTGAGAGGAGCTGTCAAACTGAAGTGTCACAGGCACTGTGAGCCTGGCAGGCACAGAGGGTGCGTCTGCTCTGTACCAGCTGACAGAGCCTGGGCAGCCAAAGCCTCCCAAAGCAGGATGGACTCGGCCCAGAGGGGCCAAGTGCAGGAGATGAGCTTGTCTGATGTGGGTGATTTGAACCAAGCAGTGGCCAAGGGCTCAGCTCGATGCTTTTGGCACTCAGGAGAGAGAAGGGGTAGCACCTTGGTCCAAAGTCAACTGGAGATGCCAAACTAAAGCTTGCTTAGGCTCTGCTGGTGAATTGCTTCATGGGAACGTGCTGTGCAGATGCTTTATTGAATTTTCAAGGAGGAGTTTCTCATTGGGACTGAAATATGAGAGAGAACAGAGTGTTCCAAGTCACTACAAACGAACAGAGCACCAGGTTTACAGGTTTGTGAATGACAAAAAAGGTTTATTTAATAATGGGGGAAAGGCCGGAACATAGCCCGGGGTATCAAGAAGGAATTAAGAAAATAAAACAAGGGCTTATGAAGAAATACTAATTGCAGCTGTCCAGCCTGTTGGGTGATACAGGTTATTTTTCTTAAATTTCAAGAAGCTTGCCATGCTGATCCCTCAAGGGCCTGAGGTGTTAAATATACACTTCCCCAGTGAGTAAAGCAGATTGTTAATTAATTTTTTTCTTATTAGACCTGGTTGCTGAACCTTTGAGTCTTGCATGAAGTAGACAATTCTACAATAAATTTCGTTTTGCCTCTGGATCTATGTCAGCTTCTCTGGGTGGTCTCTATTTCATTTTGTCCCCTTGCAGTGAATTTCTAGCTGTATAAGCAGAAAGACTGAGCCTGCTCTTGTTTTAAAACAAGCTGCAAATACTCCTGAAATGGAGATTTGTTATGTCAGGTGAGCACTACAGCAGCTGACACTGTGAGAGAGGTGAGTGAGCTCAGGTTGAACATGAACCCTCCCAGGTTGTGGCACATTCTGTCAGCAGCAGGTGAGGCTGGGGTTGTGTGGCCAGTAATTGGTTTTTCTAATGTCAGTGGCTACTCAGCGGCGCTGAAGCAGAGACAAAATGTTGTTTTGTCGTGGCTGGGCCACCTGCTCTGCTCCAGCCATTTCTCCCCTGAGATGTGCTGGCTCTGCAGAACTCCAAGTGTTTTCCAGCCCGTCTGAGAGCAGAGGGTGGAAGGACATGCTGTCCTTTTCTGGACATAACATTCCGATTGCTTCAGAATAAATGACTGGGGCTTGGGATGAAGATCAGGCCACTGTTTGTGTAGAGAGATGGGAAGCGAGGGACAAACAAATTCTGAGTTAAAAAATTCAAATTTAACATCAGACCATGAAACAGTCAAAGTAGAAGGTTAAGAGCTCTGTTGTGTCAGAAAATAGTGTGTGATGTAGTCATTAAGCTTCAGATTCCAGCACTGTGCTTTTTCAGGTTCAGGCAGAGGTGTAGGAAATTTCAGCTTTGTTCTGAGCCATTGGTATGTGCAGAACCTCCACAGTGAAGTTTTAACTTTCCTCCATGTCTTGCTGGAATTTGAGATGAGCCATTGAAAGAGTCAGGTTAAAGAGAATGCATCTAGGATTAGTGTGGATTCATGATCCTGCTGAAGGGGGCTCTCAAGTGGGGAAGAATGTCCAGTAATTTTGCTTTGATCCTCTTCACTGAGGTGTATAAGCTGTGAAATGATGGGAAAGAACAACACAGCAGGACTTGAGATAAATCCTCTGAGCATCAAGATTCAGGTGCCCAGTTCTCAGGCTGGCAGGGCTTCCTTCAGCTCTTCTGACTCCATCTCTTGTGAGGGAATTACAGTGGGTTCAGCAGTAGTTTTGGCCCAAGTATGTCAGAGTAATTTGTTACATTTTTCTAAACTTGGCATGGTACTGGAGTTTGAACATGCTCTTGTTGTGCATGGGAAGGTGTGAGCCTGTGGGAGGTGTGTGCTCCCACTCTGTGCCTGACCCTGTCCTGCTGAGGGAGTCAGGGGCTCACACCCAACTGAGTCTCAGGCACAGCTGTGTCCTGCACCCCCTTCCTCTTAGGAGCCTGTTTTGCCCGCTGCTTCCTTTGTTAGGTTGTTTTTTCCTCCTACCAGCTTTTTCCTGTCTTTTTTTCCTCCCTTCTTGCTCACACACATGCACAAAGCATTGTTTATTTCTCATCCTGCCCCTTCTGTTCTCTCTGCCTTCAGATCTTTATTTCTATCTTATATTAATTCTAATCCTCTGGAAGCTGGGCTGGAGGGTGAGGTTTCAATATCGCTGCTTTGAAACAAACCTGTTGGGATTTGTAATGGACAAGCAGATGCTTACAGGGGAATATCACTGACATCCCTGAAATCCAAGAAAGTAAAAGCCATCTTTAGGAAGTCACTGAAAAACTGCAGGTTTTGCTGTAGGAGCATAGACAACATAGAGACTTCTTGGGGTTTTTGTTCTTTAAAAAGATTAAATGGATGATCTTTATCTTCCTCGTGATAGCTAGATCACACACTGATCTCTACTGTTTATTTCTTCTGCTAAAACCAAACAAAACATAGAAACAAGACAGCTGAAGGTAGGGAAAAGCAAGGGTTTTGAAGCATGTCCAAACCACCAAGAATCATTCACTTTCCTTTCAAATGCAGCATTAGCAATAGAGCTCTAAATCAATGAAAGGTCTAAAATTAGATTATATTCCTGAGATCAGATGTGAATCACAAGTTAATCATATTTTCTTTTATTATCACTGTCTTTACCCTTTTATTTTATCCTGAGAAATTAGGTTTCTGACTTGAAAACAGAGTGAACTGTGAAGGCATCAAGCCCTGATGGGTGAGACCACGCCAGATCACCTGTGGATGGGGCTCAAAAATCATGTGTTTTGGAGGTTCATGTTACATGGTGATTTATCAGTTAGTGCTGTGTTCCTCTCTCTCCTAGCCCTCTGATGTATCAAGCTGTTTCTTAAATTAATGAGAAAATATTATTGCTAAAGCTTGCTAAATAAGGTTTGCAACCCACTCTGGAAGTGACAGGCGAGGACAGCAAGCAATTATCTCTTGACTGTGGCACAAAGCTCAGGGAATTGTATTCTCCTTTCTGTATTTTTAGCTGAAACTGTGGTGAGATGCACCCATACCTGAAGCAGAGATACGAGGTGACCTGCAAGGGCGTGCAGGTGATGTGCATCTGCTTGTATGAAATGCAGCTGCAATGTTTCCTCTCAAGCAGCACCAACTTTAGTCCCAGAGCTGTGTGCAGGACGCTGCAGGAACTCGAAGGCAGCCCTGTGCCATGGCACTGGCATTGTGTCTGTGTGGGTATTTCTGGGAGAGGTGTGTTTTGGTGGTTGTGTTTCTGGCTGGTTAGAGGTGAAGAATGATGCTGTCCTGGATGCAACAAACACTGTGGACAGTGCAGGTGTAAGGAACAAATGGTTTGATTGTAGGATACAGACTTACATGAACAAAAATAATGGAATTGCAGGAGGGGAGCCTGCAGAGGCCCCTGCAAAAAGCGTGCATGGTCGGCAGGAATGTCCTCAAAGATGTCCCTGTCTGGCACACCTTGAACACTTCTCCCTGCCATGGATCTTGTTCCAGTGTCTGGATACATGGAGGCCATACAGGTGTGGCCACAGAGGAATGACCACACGTGGCAGCAGTGCAGCTCCCCTATGAATGAGGGTCCGTGTCCTTGCAGAGCAGGGTGTTGGTGCGGCACTTTTGTGGCAAAGCACGTGAGGGTGGGCAGCACGTGATGGCTCAAACCCGGTGTTTGCAGATCAGAGGGAGACAGGTGTGTGTGAAAGGCTCCTCCACCTTTCCTCTGTGCAGCCTCAGCACTTGCCAGGACATAATTAGTGGGGCTCTCGTGTTTCAGGGCGGGCTATGGAGCAGCTGCTGAAGTGCCAGCTCAGTTGGTAGCCTCAAAAACAAAACGTCCCTTGTTTCTCATCAGCACTGTGAAACGCTGCCTTCCTGAACTTGGGTTTGGCCCCGCAGCTTTCAGGGTAGACAAAATGTGAGAATTCTGCCAATAATGTCTTCTTCTAGGTCTGTTTAATATCCGTTATCAATTTAATGTGCCACTTTAATGAGATTTTGCTTTCTCCATCTCCTCCATAGAGCTGATTACTTAATGTATGTGGTTGGTGTTTTCTTTTCTTTTTAGAGGAAACTGCAAGTGAAGAAGTTCAATGTTTGCTTCAGCTGAAGAGAATATTTCCCAAGTCCCGGTGGGAAAAGGTGAAAAAGAGGACCAGAGGATGTTGCTAGTAGGTATGGAGATGACAGGAAGCCATGACTAGAAGGGGGATTGTCAACAGGAAACAGAGCACCACAGCCAATGTGACACTGCTGCACAGTACAGCTGCTGTGCTGTGCTGCCTGCTGGACTCTGAGGCCTGGGGAGCACTGTCTGTCTCCAAGAGAGATTCTCCTGTCCATTTGTCTGCTGGAGTTTGAATTGTTCTGCACCTGCTTAATCCACTTCACTGGAGCTGGCAAACCCTGGGGCTTTTTTCTTGTCACCAGCTACTGTAAAGTCCTTGAACAGCTATGGGGAGCAAAAGGTGTGTGTGAGCCCTTTCTGGGCTGGCAGCCGAGCACTCCACGGACCCCAGGCAGCTTTGAGGTGTTTTGGCTGTTCAGTGCTCTGCAGATATGAACGCTGAGCTTTGGGCCTGGTTGTTCTCACCATGCTAGTACATGGGAAGGACGACTTCCTCTCAGACATAGCCTACATCATCCTGGAACTGATCATTGCAGTGCTGGCCATCCTGGGGAACATCCTGGTCTGCTGGGCCGTGTATTTGAACAGCAACTTGCAGAACGTCACCAACTATTTTGTGGTGTCCCTGGCGGCTGCTGACATTGCCGTGGGCGTGCTGGCAATCCCCTTTGCCATCACCATCAGCACTGGCTTCTGTGCCTTCTTCTATGGCTGCCTTTTCATTGCCTGCTTTGTCCTGGTCTTGACTCAGAGTTCCATCTTCAGCCTCCTTGCTATCGCCATTGACAGAATCATTGCCATCCGAATACCCCTCAGGTAAGCATGGGCTGGGCTGTGGTGGTGAGGGCTCAACATCCCTAAAAACCATAGGGCTGGAGATGAATCAATGAAAGAAAAGTTAAATGAGGATGAGTGCTTTTTCTATTGTATTTTGAAAGCAAATTTTCTAGGTCCTAAAGTCTGCCTTGGCTGGTGGATTTTCTGGATGCTTCCTTTTCCTGCTCTTCTCTGCTCTCTCCTTTGATGGGTGTCCATGACATCACAGAGGTGCTGCCTGGGAGCTGCCTCTCCATTCCTAGGCAAACTGTGCCCTGAGCTGCAGCCAGTGGCACCAGAAGGATGGTGGAGAGCAGAAAGGGGGTGAGGTCAACTTGTCCCCCTCCCCATGGGAGGAGGTGGGTTCTGCCTGAAGCTGTAGCAGCAGGGCTGGGGGGAGGGAGGTGGGGTTTTCTCTCAGGGGTCTGTTTAATGCAAAGGGAGAAGAAGCAGCAGGCTGACAAGAAATGGGCCTTAGGAAGATTTGGACTGGCTCAGGCACTGCCTCTGGAAGCACTGCATAGGTTGGGTCAAGGTGCAGGCTTGTCCCAAGCCACGCCTGCAGATGGGGATTTTGTGGTCTCTGCAGTTTAAAGAAAGAAAAGGACATTTTAGTGACTCGGCCTGGCTGCTGCTTGGTGTGCGAGCAGGGAGGCTGACATGGGACAAGGGGAAGTTTTGCCACACTCACAGGGGCTGCTCTCAGTTCAGTTTTGCAGGAGCACGTCGTTGTGATGGGCTGTGTGTGCCCGTGGGCGCGAGGCAGCGCCGCGTTGCTGTGACAATGCTCAGTCATTCACTGAGCTCCAGAGATGGAGAGGAAGCCCCTGGAGAGGCTGGTGCAGGAGAACTGTAGGAGTCTCCTTCCTTCCTGTCTTGTCCTTGGGAGGATGCAGCACGCTCTTGGGAATGGAGAGACTGCCTTCATCTCCTGAACAACCAAAGTGGCTGAAAAAATGGAACTAATTTCTGATTTTTGTGCTCTTGAGTTAGGGTTTTTGGACATCCTCACTCTTTTTGAGCTTAAATCACGTGTGCTGATCTGCACAATTTAGTTCTGTCTCTTCTGAATACTTTGGTCATGCAGCACTTATATCAATTAACACAAACCTCCTGTTCAAAACCAGAATGGGAGCCCTGGAGAGCGGAAATTGCCTTTCCATGTGGACCAGTGCAGCCAAGTCTTTCCTGAAGCCTCGGCTCAGCAAGTTTGTGCTGCTATAACATTGCCTTTAATGGGTTATTTCCAAACCCATTGGTCATACCTGTTACAGCTTCTAGTTTTGATGTAGATGTAAGGAATAACTGTTCCATTCCACTGCAGAGAAAAAAATACCTCTGTCCATAATAGTTCCCTATAAACTGTATTGTCTCCACTTTTCTACAGGTCTGCTATAGATTATTTCAGTTTATAGACCAAAATAATGATAAATGGTACAAGGAAACAATGTTGAGTAGCCCCTGGGAGCTGCCTCTGAAATGATTTTGAGAAGGGCTGATGTCTTGATTTCATCTCTCACGAGCTAACTCTGAGGATGTCTGCTGACAGTTTAAGCACTCTTATTGCTAGAGGATGACTTGCCAGGAAAGAGATTTTAAAAATCTGGATTTCTGCCCACGTTTTCGGCTATCACTGTAACTATATTGCCTCGAAAATGTAATTTCCTGGAACAACCAAGGTAAAGTCTTTTCAAAGAACCAGACTACATCAGTGCTGGGCATGACACTGGTTTCACTATCTTGTTTTGGAAAAAACAGAGCACACCCTCCTCCACCCCAGGAACAGAGGGACTGACTGGATGCAGAAACCCACAGGTAAATCCATGGGTTCCTCCTTGTCCTCTGCTGGTTTGTCCTTTTACAGCAGGAGTGATGAACTTGTCGGTTGTGTTTCCCTTTTAGAATTTATGGATGAATAAGCATTAGATTTATAGCCTCAGACATGCTGAGAAAGTGAAAGCTGATTATCTGAAGAGGGAAATGTGGTATAATTTAGATTGCCCACATCCTCATGGTTTTTTTCTTTTTCTAATACTGGTTTGTCTTAAAAATGGGTCAAACAATTTGAAGTTAGTTCTGCCACTAACAGTGTGTTGTTCTAAGCCCATCCTTTAATACCTGGGAAGGCCTCTTCTCCTCCCCACAGGACATGAAAGATACCACCAGGTTTTCCTAATATTCATTTGCTAATTCATTAATAAACCAGGCTTCCTTCACTCTAGTGAAACCAAAAAGGGCCATACATTTGTTTTATTCTTCTGTTTCTCTTTAAATATTTCATGTCTGATTTGTCCTAATGAAGATAACTGCCTACGTGTATTCTCACAGAAATAAACTGTCAGTACTAAGAAGGCAAAATAGTGAGTTTTGTGATACTGCTTTGTTTTGGACCCCTCAGTACATTGTTAGCTACCTTTCCAATTATTTTTCTGTGGAGAAGAGACCCTCCTCCAAAAAACTGCAATGTGAAAAGACATTTATCCATTTAAAATGGATAAAAAATGAATTTGTGAATATCTTAGGTGTTCTGCCTTTCAAACAATTTAAACATTTTGTAGAATTTGGTCAATTTTCCACAAGTTCTCAAGCATTTGGCTGAATTCTGCCAGGTTTTATACAAATATAACACTCTGCAAGTGGCAGTAAGGCACTCCCAAGGAAGGGAGTCTGAGCCATTGTTCACTCTAGGACAAAATGAGGTCTCTCACATGGCAGGTACCTGAAAACCTGCACTGGCTAATATCAAACCCTCAGGTGCTGTGAACAAAACTGGCTGTGACTCTGAGCCCCAGGATGAAGCCCTGGGCCAAGAACAATTGCTGCTTTCCAGGCTCTGTGGTGCCAGCAAAGGCTCTGTGGGCACCATGCCCAGCCACGTGCTCCTGTGCAGGCATTTGTGTAAAGACATTCCCAGGGGAAGGACAGGTAGCTCCAACACACTGGAAAGAGAGGGGAAATTTTCCTTCCTGCAGCCAAACACAAAATTTGCTGAGGTTACTGAGGTTGCTGCTTGCTCTCTGTGCTGGGTTCAGGCATAAAACACATAGGTCATACAGTGCCAACTGCAGGTCTTTTCCTCTGCTACTTTTGCTGCTGCAGTGCTTCTCTGGGGAAACATTATTAAGGTACAGCTTCCTGGCGTTTGGAGCCTTGGGACTAATCCCATGTGGCGGTGATTTAAACTGCAGTTCTGAGGTGGTTTTCTGCCAGAGGACATGAAGAACTGGCTTCTCAAAGTCTAGGAAGAATAGGGGAGATGAACACTAACCCTGAATGAAGTATAGGGTGTGCAAGGGACCTTTGTGCTGAGAGCAGCCTGTTTCAGTAGTTGCTTCAATTCCCTAGGCTTCCCTTCTGAAATGCTGATAAGTGAGCATCTAAACCAGCGAATCAGGGTTTTAATGTTTTATTGTCACTTTGAGCCATGTGTGGACTTATTTCTTTCCCTGCTCACCATAAACCTTTTGACTTTATGGAATGCATTTCCTACATATGCTCATGTTAAATACATCTAGGGCAGGTTCAGCCTAATGTGAGAACAGAGTAAATCCCCTCCTTCTTTTAACATGGGCACGGCTTTGAAAGCAGTGCCTTCGTGGCCTGCACAGAACTTGCTGTTACCAAGGTTTTATTCAAGAAGCTGATCATGTCACGAGCAGAACTGTGTCTGCCCATCATTCCTGCTTCTACTGTTTAGAGAAGAGATAATGCTGGGCATCTGTGCCCACCTCCCCTGTCTCCATAGCATGGACAAACATCAGGATCACTCAGTACCTGGCAATAGAGGAGGGAGGCTCTGGACTGAGGGGTTTGGTACAGGTGAAGGTCTGTTTGATTTCTTGCCCTGTCACAGATTTCCTGGATGATCTGGGATTGCCAGGTCTCTCATTTCCACATACATTTTCAATAAGGATTGAATATTCTGCTTGGTCCTGTCCCTGATGGCTGCAGCTGCCTGAGGTGTGGGCTGCTGCGTGGATGTGTTTGGTGAGCAGTGTTTTGTAATGGTTTGTTAAGCACCTTGGAGCAGTGCTAGAATTCATATCAAAGCCCTCAGCTGAGCACAGACATTCTGGGTGATGCAGTAAAGGTGTCTGAAAAACACTCCACACCTGACAGAGGATGTGCAGTGCTGACCACCAAAGGAGGGTCTGGAAGACAAGCAGCAGGATGGCTGGACATGGTGACGGTGAGTTAGGCCAGCTACACATCATGCAATGGATTGAAAGGTTTTAACTTCTTCCTGAAGACACTCTGGACAGACTACCAGCTCTGTCTTTCACCAGTCTCAGAGACTCTGTGCAGGAATCTTTGTCTTCATGGTACAGAATTTAGTCCAAGGACCCAGAAGTGGCACATCCACAGCCATGTTACTGTATGCAGCCCAAAGGAGCTGTACATTCACCAAGGGCAGCTGCTCTCCTGCAGTCATTTTGCCAGCTGGGTGGTTGGAAGAGCAGCAGGGCAGGTGAAAATGTTTTAGGTGAAAACTTTCACATTTTCATGTGCTTGAAAAGTTGGTTTTGCCTTTTAGAGGAGGCAGGTGACTCTATCCCCACATCCAGTGCCACCATGAGCATCCCTGTGCTCTGCACTCAGGTCCTTTGTGCCTGAAATTTCACGAGCAGAAGTGGTTGTTTGTGTAAGTGCAAGTGTGTTATTTCCAGGAAGCAGAACTGCTGCTGCACAGACAATCCACATCAGACATGCTGCAAAGTCACCTGCCAGCTATGCAGAACGAGGGCTGCAGGTGTGAACACCTCCTTTCAGCTGGTTTTGTCTCCTGCATGGTGCCAGCAACTCCTGGGATAGAGGATGTGTCTGGGAAGCCCTGAACTTACCCTGTAGAGCTCTGCAGCACTGAGAATATGGAGAGTGGCTTTGGCCTGGCTGCTGTGAGCCTGGAAAGATACTGAGACAAAGTACATGGAGATGTACACGAAGTCCTCAATGTGGATAAGAGGAAAGAGTCCAGGAAAACCCATCTGGACTATAATGCTACCTCTGCCAAGTCAGTCAGAGCTGCCTCATGTGGATCCTAGAAATTAAGCTCTCCTAAACGAATTAACACTTCTCAGTGGGTACCTGGCCAACACAAGGCCATTGGCTATGTCACGAGATGCTTTCTGTCCTGACCCTTTGGAGATACAAGGTGTTACGGACATGCACTGCAGCACAATGCACTGCAGCTGGGAAGCTGCTCGGGTTGAGTGCTGTCCTGAAGCCTCATAATGCTTCTTGCATGGGAATCCCCAGAGGAAAAGAGGGAGGGGGCAGTCTTGGAGGGGTGTTTGTCTGGAGTAGTGAACGTATTTTTAGTGGAAGGGACATCTCTAGTCGTGGGATAACAGCTGCGCAGTTTCAAAATTCCTCTGACAAGATGTAGCTAATTCCAGGGCTGAAAGGTTTTGACGGTTGTTGTGGATTTTTTTTTGGGGGGGGTGGGGTGGGGATTTGGTCTGGTTGGTTTTGTTTTTGTTTAGTTTTGTTTGTTTGCTTTGTTTTGTTGTTTTTCCAAGCTTCAAGGGCCTTCAGCCACTCTCTTGCTCCCTGAGTGTACATTTCAAAGCACAGATGCTGTTTTGATGTGTTGATGAGGTCTGAATGGAGCAGCTCTCTGCTACCACTCATGCCATGCCCTTTGCATCCTTTAAGCACTGGACAGGATCCACTAATTGCTGGGAAAAACCTTTTTCTCTCTCAGAATTAGCTGAATTCCTTCCTCATTTCTGGAAGGGCAATTTAGGTATGTTTTGCGTGCTGGGAATTGTGTGGTTGGCTCCGTTATCCACTCACTATTTTCTGGTTTTGAAATGCAACTAAGAAAGAGAAATTTAAGCCTGATGGGTCTTGTTTTTTCCAAGATCCATTGTCAGGGATTTCAAGCATGTGCAGTATCTCCATTCTTTACTGTGCAAAAGCAGCCACTCTTCTCCCCTGTCTCAAACTTGCATTGGGATAGAAGCATGAACCTGTGGGAGTAATTATTTCACTGGGAGATGGAAAGATTTCTGTGGCTTGTTGTATTATTTCTTGTAATGTTTGTTTTCAGAGAGAATTCAGGGGACAGGGGGAGAAGGAGCACTGGGTAAACACTGGGAGCCCAGCGCTACCGTCCGATCACAGACACACGGGGTCAAATACAGTGTGGGACCCACGCTGCACAATGTGGGAATCCGGCCATCTACTTTCCATGCTGAGCATTACCCAGGGAAGGAAATTGCATTGAAATGTTAAACTGCTGCCCTAATTTACATTTTCAGAGGGAAGAACTGGTGGAGCCAGCTCAGGACTCGCAGTAACCTGTGAGGCCTTGGAAACTAGTTGATATTTCCAAACCAAGGTCTCTGCTGCACTGTCAGATTCTTACCATGTTGCTTATTGTTTCTTTCAACAGATCTTGGAGAGTTAACTGTCAGGAGCACTGGCTTTAGCCAGGCATCAATGCCTCCACCACTGAGGTCCCTTTGGTGTGTGCAGTGCAGCCCACGGCACACCTGTAGTCAGAGAATTGTCCTCAGATTAATTCCTCCTTTCTGAGAAAGACATGGGGCTGACTTAGCTGGGCTGGTGGGGATAAAGGCTGACTTGCCTCAGTTGTTTCAAGGAGGTTGGTGGTGCTGGTCTCCCTTAAAGTGCCATTGAAGAGCAGAGTGAAGTGCCATGCAGGCAATGCCAACCTGGCTGCTGCAACTGAGCCAGCAGGATTTCCCTGGAGCACACCAGAATGTGGACACAAGGGTGGTGGCACTGTGCCTCCAGGTTCTTTTGTGCTATTTGGTTTACTGATCTACTGCAAAGACAGACAATTCCATGCTAAAAGGCTGCTCCTTTGCCAGGAAGGAGACATTGCCTTAGCGTTTGGCAACAGACCCACAGTGTCTTCATCCCAAGGGTCAGAGCAGTGCTGTTGGTTAGCCAGGCTGCAAGATCTATGTGCACTCCCAAGTGGACTGGTGGAGTGAAGGAGCACAGATGGAAACTGAACTAATTTCCCTGCTTTTCTCTCAACTATTCACTGCTTAAAGGAAAGGGGAGGGAAGTAGGTGGCAGACAGTGTCACCATGTCCTTGGTGTGCTGCATGGGTTCTGCACGTCAGTGCAAAGGCCCCTCTGATGAAGCAGGTGCCTTTCTCACTGTCTTCTGGAACAAGGGGCCATTGTGAGGTTGCATGGGTGCCAGCAGCTTGTTGAATGACACTGATATATCTCCCATCTCCTCTACTTTCCAGGTACAATGGCTTGGTGACCGGCTCTCGAGCCAAAGGCATCATTGCCATCTGCTGGGTGTTGTCCTTCATCATCGGCCTGACCCCAATGCTGGGGTGGCACAAGCGTGCCCAGATCGAAGAGCTGGGTTCCAACTGGTCCTCTCCCATCAACTGCAGCAACAGCATGGTGGCGTGTCTCTTCGAGGCTGTGGTCACCATGGAGTACATGGTCTACTACAACTTCTTTGCCTGTGTGCTCCTGCCCCTCCTTCTCATGTTTGGTATCTACTTGAAAATCTTCATGGCAGCCCGGCGCCAGCTCAAGCAGATGGAGAACAAGATGGTACATGGGGAACGTTCCCGCTCCACGTTGCAGAAGGAAGTCCATGCAGCCAAGTCTTTAGCCATCATTGTTGGGCTGTTTGCAGTCTGCTGGCTTCCACTACACATTATTAACTGCTTTACCCTTTTTTGCCCAAATTGTGCCCATGCTCCCCTCTGGCTGATGTATCTGGCTATTATCCTGTCTCATGCTAACTCAGTTGTAAACCCCCTAATTTATGCCTACCGCATCAGGGAGTTCCGATACACCTTCCGAAAAATCATCAGCCAGCACATCCTAGGCCGGAAGGAGCCCTTCAAGGCAGGAGCAGCCAGCTCCAGGACTTCCACCCATGGTGGGGATGCAGAGAACGCCAGCATACGGATCAGTGAGTATGCGCTAGAGGTATACACCAATGGAGAGATCCACAGGGATCCTGAAAAGCAGGACTTAAACAAATGCAAAGCTAGCTTGGAATGGCACCAGAATGGAAATGCTCTGGACTTGGAGACAAATGGGCATCTTCCACATTCCTGCAAAAATGGGATTCTCTCAGATGCATGCCTGAACAGGGAGCTTCACAGTGAAGAGCTGATTGACGCCCAGGTGTCTTACTCAGATCTGGAAAGAGCAGCCTTTGCTGCAGCTGATGTTTCCTGATGAGACTTTCAAAGTTTTCCTGGTAGAATTATTTTTTTTTCCATTGGTGACCTCTGCCATGGCAGAAAGGGAGGTTGGGGGGCGGGGGGAGAGCAGTGTATTCAGATCACTGTGGAGAAAGGGGTCCATATCCAGGACTATTGGATGATCCTAAATACCAGACTGGAGAAAAGCCAAGAGACCACCAAAGTGGACTAAGGAAGGAGGGACACGTTACCCATCAATGACCTGTCACCAAGAGCAGTGCCAAGGTCGAGGATGGCATTCCAAGTTCAGCACTGGGAGACTGCTGATGCAGAGATTTTGTGACACTGTGCTGTACTGTGCCTGTGGTTGAGTGCTGGTTTCGCTGTCTTTACCAATGGAAACAGAAGCATGGCTGAATAACAAAGAACAACTGGGAAGGGCCTCTAAGTACTGTGGCCCTGCAACAAGCAGAAGGGGGATAGCAAAATCTGTTGTCAGGAAGGATGGCAGGAGCTGCTTGGAGAGGGAAGGAATTTGCCTGATGGGAACTCTGGATACTTTCAACCATGGCACTTTGTTTTTCAGTTTGTGTTTTTAAAGCTTATACTGCAACAGGTTGCTCAAATGATTTTTTTCCCCACATGATGATAAGGTTACTTTACTTTAAGTTATAAAAGATGGGCAAGAACTCATATCTGTTCCCTGAATGCTCAGTGTTCCAGATGCACATAGCAAATATAGCTTCTTAGTGCTCCTCTGTGTCAAACAAATCACCAAAGCTGAGCCTTGCCAAGGATTTCCCTTGGCAAAAGGGCTGTTAGCAGGACGTGGTGCTGTGGGCCAGGGCTGTGGGCAGTGTTCTCAGGGCAGGGCTGTGAAGAGCTGTGGGTGTGTGAGCTCTTTGTAGGCTGATGGCATTTTCTGCTTTCCCCCTGTCCCTGTGCTTCTCCTCCTGAGCTCCTAGAATGCAAATTCTTTCCGTGGCCCCAGATGTGCATGAGGGGAGGTAATATTCCATATTTCAGTCACCTTCATCCTCACTCAACAGGCTGAGGGACTTCTTTCTTCTTTCTTAGGATAGAGAGCAACCCACCCACATATTTCACCTAATTTTGGAATTCCAACAAGCTCTATTTAAAAACCTTTTCTCCTGTGATTTCAGTTTTTTGCTGTGAAGCCTGATGTGTCCCTGTGGTGCAGAGGCAAACAGAGCTGGGTCTGTCTGGTTAGAAAATGCTCCTGCTCTGAGAAGCTGAAAGGTGTCAGTAGTACTGGAACTCAGTTTAGAAACTGCAGTTTCTACTTTCTGTAGAAAAGAACAGGCAAATCTATGCTGCAGCAAGTGTACACACTGCTGTGGTTTGTTGCAGAGGTGTTTCATTGCAGTTTGGTAATTCTCTGTGTAACAGGAAGTCTGGCAGCTCAAGGACAGCAGAAAACCACATCAGCTTGAATTCTACCTGAACATTGTCTGTGTTTTGTTTTTCAGGCAAATCATCCATGTCCAGTACTACCAGCCTTCTGAGGAGACAGGCAGTAGTGGTCCTACTGGGAAATGAAAAGTCTTGTCATTCCAGGGATCTGAAGCTTATTCTCTAGCTGAAAACATCAGAAATATCCTCCCCCAATCTGGGTTCTCCTCGTGTCTGTCCACTAACATTTCAGAAGCCAAGGGAAACTGGATTTTCATACTTGAGGAAGAGCAAGTTAATTTTGCATGTTCTTATTCCATGTTTATTTTATATATTGTGAACTATTAGAATGAAAAAATAGTTTTATTTTGAGGAGAATTTTCTTTTTTCCAGTTTCCCTGCACACATATGGGGAGAAGTTTGTGGTGCTGAATGTGCTTGAGCATGTAGCTCCTCTGGGATAGCACAAAATTTACTGTGAGATGGATAAAAAGGCGTGGCTACCACCACAGTCCTTAGCAGAAAGAGAGGCCAGTTTGTAAAACAATAGGCTTCATGGTTTAATTGAACTGCTGCTTTCTTGGCAGGGCTCTTCCCCACAGTCTGACGTCAGAGGAGAGGATTATCACTCCAGTGATACCACCATTAAGGAGCACTAAGCCATTTCCCTGTGACTGACGTCATAGGTAGTTCCTCCGTAGGTGACTCGGGATATTGTTACTCTTGATCCTTCTTGATGGAATATTTCTGTAGGTTATTTGTGTGGTGGCTTCTCTGACCTCCTGTAACAGCGGCAGAGGAACTCAGGAAAATGGGGGGCTGTTCTCTTCAAGCCTCAGCTGGGAGCTAAAATGTTTCTAAGAATAACACAAGATTACATCCGGCACTCATGTCAATAACAATTAGGTCCACAAAGACCCAGAGCAGGGAAGGAAGTGTGGGAAAATACCAGCATTGCTCATGTGCTGGAACACGCAGAAGTGCAGAAGAGTTGCCTGTTGAGCTGTAGCTGCAATTGTAAAGGGATGGTTTGCAGCACATTGGATCAGACTTTCAACAGTTGGTGTGGATTGGCTGCTTTCTATTGTTTCCTGAGCATCTCCACACTCACTTATGGCAGTTTCTTTTTGGTTGTCCCAAGAATAAAGTTGATCTATGTTGATGGACAAGCTTAGGATTGTCTTGCTCTCCAGATTGCTCTGGAAAACTTTCCTACCCAACAAGATCACTACGCAAACTTACTGACTTGCCAGATATCTTGAATTTAGCTTTTGTGTTGCTGCTTGAGCTGCCCCCAAGTGTATCCAGTCCCTTTTAATATTACTGATCCAGACTTGAAGTGAAAAGGGGGTGTGAGGGGGGTGGGCTGTGTGCAGGAGGGAGGGCAGGGTATGGAGAGTGTGGTTTGTGGAGCTCTCTGCAGTCACAGGAAGGAAGGGATTGCAGCTGCACCACGTGCTAGGCCTTCTGGCAAACATTTGGCTAAGATGGACCCTCAGAAGATGTTTCTGAAGCAGTTGGGGAGAGCAGAAGCTTTTTGAACAGAATTTTGGACTTCATATTTCTTGTTTCCTAGGGATCATAATTTCAGGTCTTCCTGCTTTTTGGTTTGTTTTTCTTAAAAAAGAAAGAAGCACTAGGTCCCATCAGCGAAGCATGCTCTTTCCTTCTCCTGGCAGCTCTCCACTCTTGAGAGAAGTACCTGCCTTCCAAACTTCCTAGGACCACTCATATCCCCAGTTTTCTTCTAGCTGGAGAATGTTTAGCTGTTCCAGTTGTTCTGGATAAACAAAGATGGTAGCAAGACAAAGGGAAGAATGAGGTGACTATCAGGAGAGGCTGGAGAAGACCTTCTTGGGAATCCCAGGTGAAGTGGGTCCAGAGAGTAGGAGCTGAGGTCAGCAGACTAATTTCATTGAACGAGAACTTCTTGCTAAAAAAGTCAGAAGCAGCATAGAGATGATGTGCCTCACTTGGCATGTGGGCATTCCATGAATATCCCCATTCCCTGAAGACTCTTAAGGCTCCAGAGTTTATTTGCTTTATAAGAGTTTTGGAGAAAACGAAGTTTGATCAGTTGCCAGGAGTAATTTTACCAACAGTTCTTGGGGCTCTCTCCTCAACAGGGCACTGCTTTTCTGTGTGTGCAGATAAATGCACTTACAGCTGTGTGCTGCAGAGTCCCTTTTGGATCAGTGACATTTCAAAGCTCTGCAAGCTTGAACTATGGCTCTTGAACTGAAAAGCAATTTGGCATGGTGGGACAGGTGGGAACACTGGAGACAGAAAGGATTTCTTGCTGGTCCCAGCTGGGGGCCAGCTAGGACCCCCTGCTAGGGTGCAGGTGGACTTGGAGTGACATAGAATAATCTGAACCTTTGATCATTTTTTGAAACTGCCTCAGGGGATGCTGGTGGATACAGAGAAGTTTCTAAGGTGTGGGAGACTGGAGGGCCAGGATGGACAGGAATTCTTGGTAGTGAAGGAGCATTTGTAGAGTAGGTGTTTGGGAGGATTTCGGGGGAGCAGGAATGTGCTGGGAGGTGCTGTGGGGTGTAAAGATGATGCTGGCATGAGACCAAGGTGTGACTTGCTGAGGAAGGTCTCTGGAAGGGATGTACAGCCTTACAGCTCTCCTCGGGTCACTGCAAGGATCAGCCCTTCCTGGAGTGCACACAGGGTGTCACAGGGTTGACTTTGTAGGGTCTATATTGACTGAGGCAGGGATGGTTCTTATGGATTATGTCCTTTCCAGATACATTGTTCCATTTCATGAGCACATCCAGGTATAAAAAATCCCCTTCTGCTTCATGAGCATGGGCCCTACCCTAAAACCAAATCCTTCCGTCCAAGTTCTGTGGAAGGACAAACAGGCTGCAGTGGTGCTGCAAGGCATTAAACCTGCATGCAATAGTCTCCAGTGGTGTTTGCTAAGTTCAGCTGCCTAAAAGTCAGTTCTCTCCCAAATTGTTTTGGGCATCAAATTGCACTGAGTCATTTCAGCGTTTTTTCTTTCCAGCCCTGAGCTTACCTGGCTGTCTTTATGGCAAAACACATAAAGAGTAACAAAAATTGCCAGTTCCTCATTTGCATGAGAGGTGATTAACCCTGAGAGATGAGAATCCCCAGATTGGGGCAATGTTGTTGTGCCCCCACCTTTCTTGCCTGCTGGGGCTGTTCACACAAGGATGTGTTAAAATCAAGACTGGAACCTGTTGATCTGAGAGCATCCTTCACTCCCCCCACTGTCTCAGGAGCTGGTGTTCCTGCGCTGTCCTGTGGAGAGGTTCTCTGTGGTCTGCAAACCAAGACACTATGAGCACCCTGCTGCACATGCTGTCAGTATGAAACAATTACTCTTTTAATTTAAATGTTTTACAATATAGGTGTTGTTTTCCCTCTGTCAGTTACCATTGGGGGGTGGGAAGGGAGTGGGAGAATCTGTGCATGCAAATGTATTTAAAGTGCGTTGACCAAAGGTTTTTTTGAATCTGTGAAGTTTTCATATCTGTGAAGTCATCAGACTGCTGGGCAGTGAGGAGCCGCTGGTGCTGCGGAGTCTGTCTTGGTTACATTTCTTAATAAGCATTAAAATAAAAAAATATATTTGTAAAAGAGAGTGTGCGTGCCTTTGTCCCAGGAAGATCCGGCTGGCTGGGTCTTGTGTGCAAGTATTTTTTTATTACATTATTAGCTTTCTCCATTGATTGATCCTTCTGGGGAGCTCTCTCCTTGGTGCTGCCTGTGCTTTCACAGAAGAGATTAGCACAGACTGAAGTGACAGACCAAATGGACTAGAAGACTCCTCCCATCTCTAACATCCCAGGATCTGTCATTGTGGCAGTAGAAATTGTTCACAGTTCTGTATGGAACACAAAATAGAGCTGTTTTCACCCAAACCACTGCCCTGGCAGGAAGGAGGTGTTCCACAGCAGGACCTGAGGGTCCATAACTGCACCATGCAACAGCTTTGCCAGCTGTGACTGGGCCATCCCACCCTGCTGGCTCTCCTTCCATGTGGCCCTGCTGGTGCATCTCAGACCATCACCCTTTCAGACTTCTGCCCAGCTTTTGCCAGCCAAATTAGTCTAGAAATGGAGGCAGGAAATCTACGTGCTGCTGTGATGCTTCTCCTATCAAATCTGAGCAATGCTGAAGCTAGAGTAATTTCCAGCTTTTTCCAGCTGGCAGCAACTAAATATGTGTCTAAGGAGGTTAATAGAAGTCTGTTCAATCCAGGAGCACTTGGAATTGGGAGGTTCTGAAATGAAAGTTCACCAGATAGCCATCAACCACCAGTCACTCCCTCTTTTGGGTCACTTTGAGCTGTGCTCAAGGCCTCCTCACAGGAGGCCCCAGTTTGTGGAGAGGTTCTGGCACCCTGGTGCTCTGCAGCCAACTGCCCAAGCTGTTCAACCAAGTGTGTAATTGAGAAGCTTTTTGATTTTCCCTCCTGTCACAAACACTGTGCATTTTGTTCTGCAGCATCAAAGGCTGGAGCTTCGGAACAATGGGTGTCTGCAGGAGCCCAGCAGGAACAATGCTCGTACCTAAGAAAGAGAACTTGGAAGAACAGAAAGAGCTCCCAGCTTAACAACACAATTGGCCTGATCAGAAATCTCTGCTCAGAGATCCACACCTTGGCTCAGTTGCCCGGAGCAATTAGACTCTGCAGGGTTTTTGCTGTAGACAAGAGCTGGCTGCAGCACTGGGGAGCTGCCGTGTCTGAGTGATGAAGTAGGATGGGGCTATGGAGGATTAGTAGTGTTTCCTACAAATGGGAGATAATGATTTTGGCTAAAGAGCTTTTCTCAGTAGTTAAGGCAACAGAATCTTCCTTATCACTTTTGCCCCCAAACAGGAAGACTTTGGTGCGAAGCATAATACACACAAGTGTCTGTATGGGTTTCAAAAAGTTTCAGGTCATTAAAAAGCTCTGAGCACCTCCTCTGAGGCCCTCACAATTTACTTTCACAGGTGTGTTCATTCATGGGAAGGAGACAGACTTTTGCCTGCTCTGAATGATCCTGGGAGGAATCCACTTCTCTGATCCCACATATAAGCACCTCAGGTTAGATGAAGTGACTCACTGCATGCTGGAGTCTTGCTGAATAGTAAGTGGACCTGTGTTCCTCCCTGACTTCCCAATCTCCTCTTCAGTGTTGCTTGGATAACAAAGAGGGGCATTTCTGCATATTGGAGATGTTTCCTCAGAAATGACCCAGTGGATGGGGATGTTGAAAGAGTTTTGGCTGTGAGATGCAGTCATTTCTCTGCTTTGGGACTGCAGCAGTCACTGCTAAGATCCTGCAGTGTCAGGAAAGTGCTGTCTAGATCTCAGAAAATCAGAACTTCACTTCAAGAATTAGAGTCCTTGCAACACATCAAAGAAAGTAATCTAAACCAAGTTTGGGTCTGAGAACAACGTGGTGATTTTTCAGCAAGTGAAAGTCAAGGAGTGGGAAAAGAACTTTCCATCTGCAAGTTCAGAGTAAGCTGTACAAAGATGAGGTTATGTGGAGTGCAGATCCATACTGTGTGGTCCGAGACTGTTACACTGAACTCCAAAGCAGGGACTGCGGTTTCTGGGAGTGTTCTGCTGCAATCCAGAGAGGTGACTGCAACTTCTACAGATCCCAGGGAAGTCTTTAAACCTTCCAGCTTGGACACTGACAGCACTGGAGCTGCAATTGCTTGAGTTTAGCCAAGGATTTATCCAGAGCCTGAGGCAGCTCCAATCTTTTGCCTTTCCTAGGTAACAGCTCATAATGACAATGAAGAGATCTATGTGCATGGGGTGTCTTGCTGCCTCAGCTGTTGATGAGATCATGGGGATATTTTTTGGGCTGCTATTGGTCCAAGATATTTCTTCTAATTGGGAGTTAAGCATATCTCAGGTATTTCATGTTGCTGGAGAACTTGCAGCTGCATCATTTGGGTATTTGGCATCATCTGGACTGTGAAAGCTTGTGCCTGTTTTTTTGGATTTCCATGGATGTGGGGCTCTTGTGCAGTGTGGTGATTGCATCCAGGAAAAAAACCACCTCCTATTAAAGAGAAATGAGCAGCCTGGATCAGTCCTATGAAGAACGCAAAACAAGCCTGGGCCATCTCAGGGTAAGCTGCACTCATGGTGCCTCCTGAACCCATGTCCTGTTATTGTTGGTGTGGAACATGAGGGTCTGGGCCAATGAAAATAAGGAAGGTGACTTGACAGACACAGATTTTATCTTTTGAGATTCGTCGTGACCTTTCTTGTGTATAATAAATAAAGTTGACTCAGGAATTGGCAAGTGCCCTGTAACACGCAGTCCTGGTGTTGGGACTCGGCAGAATGTTCTGCTTAGCAATGCACTCTGTTGGCTTTGTTTGCCAAGTTCCTATTTTGGAGGTGCTGAAGGGCTGAGCAGTGGCAGATGCTGAAGCCTCCTGTGGACAGGTGTTCTGGGCCCAGCACCTCTGCCCAAGCTGACCCAGGCTGGGTGAAGGCCATTTTGACTGCATGCTCATACAAGCTTTTTGCACTGAGCTATAGAAAAAAAGAGTCCTTCCAAGGAGAAATGTTTGCAGGGCTGTGAGTCCTGGGCCCAAGCGGGCTCCCATCCTTCCACATTACTGTATAACCTGCCAGGCAGTTAAGTCGACATTGAACAATATTGCTTCCTGTGTTAATGTCTTGAGCAGCCCTGCCACACACACTGGATCCTGTGATATTAAACCATTCCATCATCCAGAGAATTTGACTGGTTTCACAGGTGACAGGAATGGTAGCTCTGAGACTTGCCGAGTGATTCCCTGACATCCTGTCTTCTCTGTTAATGTGATTGTGAGCAATCACAGGTTTCCTGATCCAGCCCTGTGATACACAAGGCTCCTTGCAGGCGACTGAAGATCGTGCTGCTGACTTGAAGCTGTTCTGTGCTGGTAACACATCCGACTGTGAAGTTATTCTGCAGATCCAAAAGACATGGGGGAGAAGAGGACTAATGTTTGCATTCCCAATCCAGAGAGGCACTGGGGGACGGCTGCAGTTAATTCACAAGGATTGTGACTGATTGAAAGGCAGAGTCTCAAGAGGAGAGCACCCAGCACCAGTACAGGGGTGCTGGGCTACATGGCACCCAGCACCTTAAAGGACAGCTGACTGCCTCATTTCTGAGGCCTGCCATTTGGGAGCAGTCCAGTATTCCAAGTGTTTCCTGCCTTTCTTTATATCCATGCCAAAAGCACTGACAGAATAGGGTGGAGACAAAAAAAAATCTCAGACCCTCCTCAAGATCCTCCTCTAATTCCAGAAGGATCAAAATGCTAAAGGTTGCACTGGAAAAACAGAAATAGTCTTTTCTCCCACCATCGGTAACTCAATGCCACAAGTAAAGCTGAGACTCAGCTGCTTGTTCTACAGCTGTGTCCTTTCTGAAGTCATGAGAAACAGCATTTTGGTTTCCTTCCAGAGGAAATACACAATAATATCCCTAACTTGCACTGAGGCCTTCCAGTCTGCTGAAATAACCTAGCAATTCATCTGCAATAAAATTAAACCCAAGATCCCCTATTCCTTATGGAATATGCCAATGCATAGGAATCTATGTCTTTTAATCAGAAACACTTCTAGCTTGCATTCTCTGAGCCCTTGCTTCCCAAGCAGTTTCTCTCCCATCCTAAATTCTATATTTGCAGATGATCCCTCCTTTCCTGCCATACACCAGACCTAATGCACAAGAAGTTTATCCAAAATGCAGGCGCTGCCTGTGCCTTTTCATGGTTCAAAACTACCTGCACTTTCAAGGACTGCAGCAACTGTGTTCTTGTAGATTTTCCCTGTGTGGCTGGAGAAGAGGACGTGATCTCTATGCTAAAAGAAGTCTCTGATTCCCTTGCAGGAGGATCTTTCCATCAGCCTTTGATTTGGAAACGCTGTGTGGGACATACAATCCTCCCTGGGAGAGTTTAATGCCTTCTTCCCATCAAAAGCATGAGGCTGTGTCCTGGGGTCAGTGACATGTGGCTGACACTGAACACTGAAGCCTGTGTGTCAGTCAGGTCTGGGAAGAGCTGTGCTCTGTGTGCTGCACAGACATGTTCACGGTCTCCAAAGGCAGGTCCTTGAGGACAGAGCCATGAATTCAGTGTTTTCCAGGTGGCTGTGTTCTCTCCATGCCAGATGAATCCCAGTGCTGTGAAATGTGTCCCTGTTCTTTTTCCTAAAGAGATTCATCTGCTGATGTCACCAGGTAAGGACACACAGGAACCTGCTCTCCCTCAGCATCTGTGGCCTTTGGCCTCTGCTGGTAGTCAGGCATCCCAGGAAAACTACAAGTGACCTAAAACTCTTTTTTTGCTAACCTTTGGCCAGTGTAGCAGATAGAGAAGTAATGGCAGTTTTCCAGCAGGTGAGACCCTCCAGGCCAGCCAAGCAGACAAGAAAAATAAACACAGGAAATAGCATCCATGCAATAAGATAACAGAGAAAGGAGAGGTTGGGAGAGCTTTCTGCTGCTTGTGTGTCAGGGGGAAACCCAGAGCTTGGAGCTCTTTCCAACAGGAGCAAGCAGATGTTGAACCTCAGCACAAAGGAAGGGGTTACTGCCTAGATGGAGAGGAGACTCTGATCAGCTCTGCTCTGTTTTTCTGTCTCAAAAAGCAGTTTTCAGTCACAGTGATGATGGAAATTCTGCTGTCTCACCTGTGAAACCCATTCCTTGAACTTTTCCCTTTGTGTCCCATCCCCCCAGACCCAATGGGGTTATCAGAGCCTTCACGCTGCTCAGTTTACCCCTGGTGGAATGGCACAGCAGTACTGTGGTGAGGCATCTGCTGGCTCCATCCCTGTGCTCAGTGAGATGGAGAAACCACCTGTGGTGCCCAAAATAGCCCATGCCTGGGCAATCCAGTCCAAATGGTGTTGATAGTGCTGGGGGATTCCCATGCCTCATAAAGAGGCTTTTGTTGGGAGGATCTAAACTGAGCTCCAGGCCTTGCCAGCTGTGGAGAGAAGCAGATGGATCTGCAGTATAAAAATAGATGGAAGCAGACTTGTTCTGCCTCTTTTCTTCACCAGCTCAAAGTACAGTCCCAGAGGTGCCTGGTCAGCAGAACCAGAGCAGGGAACTGGGTGCTTTGCAGCTGCCAGTCTGCCTGGAGCCCATTAGCTATTGTCAGAGACAGAAATTTATCTCTCCTCAGTCCCATTGCCTTACAGCTGCCGTGTGGACAATCTTGTTTGCTTGCAGCTGTTGGCAGCACGTTGCATCCCATTTCCCTGGGGCAACTAAAGCAGGAGAATGGGACATTTCTGTGAGACACTATGTGCCTGAAAGAGGTATTAGTCTGTGGCTATGGCCTCTGAGAAGTCTGTTCAGCACTTTAGGACATGTGCTGAAGACTTGCACCAGTGTCAGAGGCTGTTCCAATAGCTGACTGGTAGATTTTGCAGCATCTAAAACTTTTGTGTATTGCACATGGAAATCTCACTTTTTCCCAACCCAAACTACAGGGGGAACATTTTGGACTGGTATTATCTTTGTTGTTGCTCCAAGTGACTTAGCTGGTTGTTCATACAAAAACCCTGAGTTAAAACACCTTCCAAAGGCTCACCAACCTTTGTCTCTTATGTAGATTAAAAGGGGGTGTCCTCTGTGGGTACCTCCAGGCCCTGTTGTTCATCCCAGTGCTTTCCATCCAAGATTAGAATTTTTTCAGCTCAAAAATACAATGGTTCTTGTGTACAAAAGCAATTGAGAGACTATACCAATATCTGTTACAGGCAGGACATGTCCCTGTCAGTCCATCAGTCCTGTGTTTGCATAAAATCCCCTTCTCAGCTGGCATCCCCCCTCCATCCCTCCCTGCTAACTGAATAAGGAGCACGTAGATGTTTCCTGAAGGGGCTTTCTAAAGGCACTAATTCAATTAGGGCATCTTCCTGTAATGAATGTTCCTGAGGTAAAGTAATTGAAGCTGACTCTGCTTGGGCGGGTGGGGGTAACAGGGCAGCACTGCTGACAGAGATCATGGGATTAATAGAATAAAATTTATTGTTCCAATACATTCAAATGTGTTGTCTCTTTTTATGCTCCCCAACTTCTACCTGTGCTGTTTTGAAGATGGTTGCACTCTTCCTCTCCTCCTCATTTTTTTTTTTATTTTCCATTTCATCTTGTGAATCTGTTCTGCACTTTTTTCAGTTTTAGCTTTTTGTTTCTTTCTGGTTTCTTCTCCTCTGCCTCATGTTCTCCTGCTTCCTGTAAAGGTGTGTGCTGTGGTGTGCCAGGCAGACGCCCTGAGCCTGGCCATACCTCTCTACACTGACATCCAAGTATATACTGGCTGATTCCCTGACATTTCTATTGCCAAATAGCAGCAAGAAGGGAAGAGGGAGCAAAGAATAGCATTGTTGGGAGAAACCAGGTCAGAGGTTGAGGTGGGAGTGCAAATGGAGCTCTTTTGATAAGAAATTTCCAAAAGGTTGCAGATAGTTTCTCATCAGGAATATTCTCCTTGATCACAGACCCCTGTGCTCTCATTTGGTGCTGGGAGTCAGGAAATAGTGGCAGCATTGAGCCTTTCCACTTATTTACAGCATTTCCTTTTGCTTGTTGGGGAGCAGAAAGGGTTGTCTGAAGGGCTTGTGTTTTATCTGAATAAGTTTGATTTGCCAAGTAGAGGCAATTGCTGTTCCTATACCTTGGGAAGCACATGGTGGGGGAAAGGTGACTTCTGGAGCCCAGGGATTGGGGTTTTTCCTCACACATCTAGAAAGCCTGGGTTGACAGAACTGCTGACAAGAACCTACCAGTAACATGCCAGTAAATAGACTAGGAAGCATCTGCCCTGCATTTCAATAGTGTAAACTTGACATTTAACCCCTGACTGTTTCTTTTTTTAGCTGCTTAATGTTTGGTACTTACAGGAATGTCTCAGCCACTGAATTGATAGGATTCAGCTCACAAAATGTTTCATCTCTAGTGACTGTCATGAGAGGTCTCCACACTTCATGGGGGAGCTCAGTGTTGCCTCCACTTTCGACAGTCAAATGCTGGGATCTGGTGGGATGGAGCCTTCACAGAAAATTCCAGCAGCATTGCAGGAAAGGTGGGATCAAAACTGGGGGCTCCAGCAGTCCAGACCAGACCTCACTTCCATCTCCACATCTCCAGTGAAACCCTAGATACAAACCAGAATCAGGATTAAACGTGTGCTTGGTGCAGCACAGCAGGGGAAACATCCTCCAAAACACAGCCCTTCTTTGGGCATTAACCTGATTTGGGCATTAGCTTGGTCTAATAATTCAGCAGTATTTGAACCACAAGTGCAGCATGTGTATAGTGGTACCTCCGTTTTTCCAGGTGGCCACCGGGGGTCATTTTTACTTTTGTTTTACACTGTTGAACTCGGACAGGATGCTCGAGCTGAGGACAGGAGCCGTGAGTGCTCCCTCTGCTGTCTGTGGTCTTTCAGGTTGCTGGCTAATCTGGTCCCTGCTCAGACTAAATGATTTGCTGTGCTGGAGATGATACTGGAGGCCGTTTGGCCTGCAGATGGTTCTGTAAAGGACCCGCCAAATACATTTGTTACTGTTTATATGCAAGGCCCAGTGTGACTCACAGCCCGTGTGTGACTGTGAATTCAGGTTTGGACCGAGTGTAATATCCCAATGAGAAGGGATGGATGTGTCAGTTTTGTATTCAGCTGAGGATGGACTGGACTGGGGGACACTCATGCAAGTGGTCTTTCCTGAGGAGGTGACACCTGCGATGTATCATCCTGCATGAGATGAGAGGAAATAAAATCCTTTCCAGTTTTGGGTAGAAATCTCAGGTCTGTAAAGCAGCTTCTTCCATGGACTTCTCTGATTTCACTTTAATAGGAATGATGGAGAGTCCAGGAGACACCAGGACACATGACTTGACTCAGTGTCAAGACTAAGGCCCTTTTAGGGAGCTGCCAAGAAGTCAAGGGGGAATGGGGCAACCACAAAGGATTTTTAAAAGCAATTAAGCAATTTAAGAGCAAAAGTGCCTCTAAATTACTCTGAATGTTGGGATTATTAAGCTTACTAACCCTGGTCCTTATTTGTTAGGGTAAAGATAGAAAACATTTTGACTATTTGAACTGGGCAGTACCTTGCCAGAGAGCAGCAGCAGCAAGTTGGGGGGCAGCCCTTCCCTTTGCATTGGGCTTTTGTGGCTTCTCATTTCATGTTTATGAGGCCTCCTTTTGCTTTTGGAGGGTCTTCCCCTTTGTTTGCTTGCTTTGTGGGGCTTTTTGTGCCCTCAGCACTCTGTATTTGCAAACCACATTCTGGAATGGTGCTTAGGAAGACATTCCTGTGTTGCTGTAACATAATTGATCCTTTGTTATGGTATTTCACTTAGTTCAGGTGCCCCTGAAGGATGAGCAACCGTGGTCAGAAGCAACAAGGTTTTCTGGCTGTGATTGTTGACTGGCCTGGCAACTAATAAAAGTGCTATTTTTCTTCACCTTGGTTAAAATGCAAACATGTCCCTACATGCACAAGACATGGAGGTTCAATAAACCCAAAGGGCTCACTATTAAGGTAAGTCATCCTGAGAGGCTGGGCATTGATGGTTTTCTACATTTAAGAAAATAAATTACCTTAAATATCTTTTTTGCTGCTAAGTTTGGCCCATGCTTTGTTAGCAGCTGTACACATTAAACAAGCTAAAATAAAATCTAGCATAAAAAAAATAAGATACAGAAATAAGACAAAGGAATTACAGAAAAAAGCAGCAATCTGATCATGTACCTGAGTTCATCCAGACCATACGGAAACAGTGAATTGTAATCAGGCAGCTGAAAGACAAAATGGTAGTAATTTTAGAAGTTTTGTTTGAGTTTATAAAAGTAAGTAAGAGCATACTTATAGGCCAAGTATACATGGATGAGGGAAGCTGGATCACTGGCAAATCAGAGGCAGGAAGAAAGAGGTAGATGTGGAGTCAGGACTGGAAAGGGTTATTGCCTGAGATATGAGTATTTTGTCTAATGCATAAGGTGAAGAAAGGTGAAGAAAGGCCACAGGCATATTAGTTATTTGCAAATTACACTATGTCTTCCCTCCCTCTGCCCAATTTCAGCCATTGTGTGGAGCAGGCAGCAATATGTGTGCATCTGCATCCATCCATCTTCATAACAGCTGGGTTAAATTGCACTTTAGGAATATCATTTGCAGGCAGCTCTTACTGCTGCTCCCAGCCTCTGTCCAGTAATCTGTGGCTCCAGGGGCTGGGCACATTTTGAAACTGTAGTGAGACAGAAAGTATTTGTATGCTGCTGTTCCTCTCACCTTTATATTCTATTATTCTGCTAAATCACTGCTTTGTAAGTAAGCATTCCTCTAGGACAGGTAATTCAAGATCTGATGATTCAACATGACTAGAGCATGATTCTTTGTACCTGTAGGAAGTGAGGAATCTTTCCACCCAGATTTTGCTTATAACCTTGGTGAGAGCTTCCACTCTGAAAACTATAGCTTTGTATATACAGAGGTTCCCAGTGGTTTGGTTTCTGAGGGGATCTTGCTAGCAGTGGAAAATTACACTACGCTAGAAGGAAACTTTGAGGACCTGCAATAGTTAACATGAAATTAGGCACATAAAGTGACCAGAGAAGCACCAACCAGCAGATGTGATAGTCAGTGTATCATTTTGTTTGTACACTGAATGCAAGGTCCAAGTGAATCTCTGAAGTGTTGCAATTCCTCCGGACCACAGCCTAACTGGATGTTGTTTTGCAATGCTGAGCAGACCTTCAGTGTAATTGCTTCTTCCCTCCCAAAGCTGGAACATCTGGATTTATAGTGACAAAAGCAATCCAGCAAGAAAGGGCATGAGAAATGGTACCCCTGGGGATTAGAAGAGATACTAGATATGGTCTGAGTTACAGCACATGTAAGACACTCTCTGGCATCCCCCAGCTGTTTCATCCCTCAGTAACAGTTCCCCTGATGCTCTCCTCTGTTGGGAGCTGCTGCCCACAGGGATGGCTCCTCAGCCAAAACATCTCCCAGAGCTCCTCTGCCATCATCTAAATGGTGACCCATCAGCCACTTTCAGTAGGAACTACTGATAACAACCTCTACCATTTTGCCCTAATACAGATTTATTAATTTACCTTTCTTTGTTTTAGGTGCATGTTGGTTAATTTTCACCTGCCACTGCTCACTTCTCTGGGGAGAACATACAACCTATATGTTACAAGATCATTAAAACACTATAGCTGAAGGGGATGCAACAGGTGACCACTGTCTCTTCCTGGGACAATTAGGAAGTTTGGTGCCTCCTGAAGGAGCTATATGGACCCTACTCACACATCTTCACCTCTGCCTGAAGTGCCTGCTAATGCTCTGTGGAGTCAGGGTGAGGAGTGTGGATGTGTAGGTGGGGAGATATGTGTCCTTCACTGCTCCTTCTGATTATCACAAGAGGAGGCTGAACTAGAGGAGCTTCCCAGGGCACAGCCTAGCTTAATGAAGGCTTTTAAAAAATATCAAATTTTATTCAGTTCCTGGAACTGAACTGATGTTGGTGACTGTCATTACACCAGGCCCAGGAGGAACTGAACTCTGTCAACGTATTTGTAAGTGATATGCTTGTGATTGCTTCCCATTGTGGAACAGAGGATGTAAAAGATGAGTGAGCAGATAGCAAAAATCTCCAGGCATGCAAATAAAGGGGGGATATGCATTTTTTCCAAAACCATTTCTTTTTGGTATGTAAAAAGAAGGGTCCTTTGTTCAGGGTATTTCTCACCCAGAGTTACATCTTGGAGAAAAGCAAGAGCTAGTGCTCATGTTGTTGCTAGTGATTAAGAATTCCCACAGGAGATCCTGTGTGTCTTTGACGTCGGCTCATTCCTTTGTGTGCTGTCTTCCTCCATCCCCATCTCTGAGGTTTTCTCTACGTCTCTCTCTCTCTCTCTTTCTTTCTCCCATTGCCTTCTGTCCCTACCAACTTGAAACAGGATCTTTTGAATAATTGTTGACACAAGCTGTCTTACTTGTAGATGTTGCAGGGGTTGGGAAGACTCCTCAAGCAAAGAAAGTTCAGTCCTTGGGGTCATGGAAACCAGCCAGGAATTTCTGATCTCCCATTCCCAGGGGCATGAGGAGCCTGCAGAGGAAAACCAAAGGTGACCATTTCCTCAGTTTAAATGTCATTGACCTGAGTTGCAGATGTTTTCCAAGACTTTTTAAGATCAAGACAGCAGTCTTGGAAATATAACTGGTAACTTGATAGAGGATCATTTGAAATTATAGAGTCCTATAAAACGATAAAGGAAATTTTTATTTGAAAAGAAGAAAGCATCATCACTGTATTTTTCAATTCTTCAGAGCTTTTTTTTTTAATCACACCTGATACATGTGTGCAGCTTGTTTACTGAGGGAGATGGATATTAAATGGCCGGATATTATTTCTTGAAAGTATGAACACAGAATATCAAGATAGTCTAAAATGTTAGCTATGTGCTATAGGATCACTGAGGATAATGTGTTAGAAGGAGAAAGGAGGTGACAGTGGGACTAAAGCTGCCTCTTTTCTGTAAGGGTGATATCTTAACAGCTCTCATGGGAGGAAGGACATGTTCAACCTAATAGGATAATGGAATAATATGTTGAACATATCAGCTTTGACACAGACCATCTGGTGGCTGTAGACGCAAATAACCTAAGGAAAACAAATTTGAAATGTTTCAGGAAATGGCTATATGCATGCAGCACAGTGGGGGGGCAGGAGGGTGCTTGTGAGTAAAAGGAAAGAGATAAAAACCCCTCTCTTTGGCTGTGGGAAGAGTGTCTCACTAGTTCCTGGAAAGGACTACATTCCATCCTTAATGATATTTGGGCTATAAATTTAGTACTGTCATCTCCTCTGGACCCACAGACTCTGCACTGTGAGGTTGTTTGAGACCAAAGGTCTCATATGGAGTCTAGCTGGTAAACAGAAAAATCCCCAAAGTCAAAGAAAGAATCTTCCAACAGTTACTGTTGGAAATTTGCTCAGAAATTGTTGGTATGGTAACTATTGCTCAGCAGGGAAATTATCTCCACCAGTAGGTCATCCACAATCTCTTCCTTTCCTTCTTTCTACTGCCTTTGTGTTTCTAACACATCCTGTCTTCTCATTTATGTCCAACCAGTTGAAATTCCCAGGACTTGCACGTTGCTCAAGTCCAGTTAGGTGTTGTGTCTTGAGGAACCACGTGAGTCAGTTCTGTGTGTACAGCCTGGCTGGCCACATTTCAGCGTGTTGTGTGACCACTGTAACGTGATGACCCAGAGGCATCACTCTCATCACTCTGGGTTCCCTGTGCAGTGGCTGGGAACACGTCACCAATGACAGTACCAGTGACAAAAACGTCTAATGAGCCTTTAAAAGATGTTGAAAATACCCAGGATTTTGCAAAGGCAAATCAATCCTTGCAGATCCCCTCTTGCCTTGGTATGCAGGTGCTGTCTCACATTTGGAAGTTTGTGCTACTACAAGTCCACAGACATTTGTATGGGCTCAGGAAGGAGAGCACAGTGTTACACTCTTCATAAATACACCTTCCTTCTTCTGTGCCAGCAGCACCTCAGCAGCAAGTATCACTTTGCTGTGCAGGAATGGCTTCGATAAAAGGTACACTAATAAGATATACTCCATTGACGAGTTATTTCTGGCACAGACAGAGCTGGAAGGAAGTCAGCATTTACACACAGACACTCTGTGGCCTGGGAAGGTCTGAGAACCCTTTAAACACTTGGCTCAGAAATGGCTCTTTTCCTTTTATCTAGGAGATTTTTCCTTTCCTGTTAAGTTAATTAAACTTCTGTTTTGTCTTCCTCATGCCCTTTTGCCAGCATCTAGGCTGTTCATGAAGACACCAGTTCAATAACCATCATTTAGAGTGTCAAGCTTATGTTACTACTGTTTGTTTGCCAAGTGCAGCTGCAGCCGTCTGCCCAATTTCACATGTTGCTGTGAGCCAGAGATATTGGCCTTTACTACACAAAAGTGCTGTTGAGGCCTCACAGCATCCCTTCCATGAGTTGTCCTTAAAAAAAGGCAACTTGTGTTGTCTTCCCACATCTCTGAAAAAAGGGTTTGTTTACACTCCACAACTGATTTGGGTTGCAGTTCAAGTGAGATATTACTTCTAGTTAGTGCCCTGTATTCTCAGTAATATCACAGATATTCTCACTGTGGAATAAGAGTATGTTACTCTATAATATAAAATAAATTCTACAGCAGATCAGGTTATTTCCAAGCAGAAGTTTCCAGGCTGGGTATCAGTGTAAGTCCCTGTGTATAAAACCTCTGAAATCCTGAGAGACTTTGTCTGGGTGTCAGGGGTATGGATCAACTCACTGGGCAAATTCAATTGAAGGGCTGAAGCCCCTTTGCCACTTAGCACGGAACTGCGCTCCCACATCAGGGTGCAGCAGATGGGTCCCACAGATGCTCCATTTTTAGTTCCCTTTCCTGCCACCTAAATCACTCCACAGGTCTAGCTCCTTCTGGTCAGGAGGAGCTGTGAGCTGAATGGCTTTGGTGAGAGACTAAGGAGGAAGTATTTTAATACTGAGAATGTCCTGTCTTTGGGCCAGCCTGTGCAACCTGTACTGGAGGTCCTGTCATACAGGGCCTGTAGGAGAAACACCTTTTCCCTAATAATTCTAGTGGTGGGAAGGGTCTCATCCTCTGTGAGAGAGAGCCTTACTATAATTTCCTCAATCTCAGCATGAATGCCCTCCCAGAAAAGCAAGTTGTTGGATGTTGCTGTTCCTTTTGTGCTGTCAAGAGTGAAACTAAAGATTAATGCAGCACTGTATTGACTGCTGTGTGCAGGTTTTGACCTGCCCGAAAAATATTCAGTCCCTGTCCTGAAAGCTACCCCTTTGGTGTCCAGTTCAGTGGGCAAGCTCTGGAAACAAACCTCTTCGGGGTCCTTGTTGTGTTGCTTTAAATACCATTAAACCCCAAGCCATATAATTGAGAGCCAGGGCAGTGTACTGAATCATTTAATACTTGCCACTGGCCAAGCTATTAACCAAAGCCTTCACCTAGAAAATAATGGGTCTTGGGGCCATGTATTAAGGTCACCTGGAACAATTTGCAGGTTTTTTGCATGAAATAATTTTTCAATTACTTTTTCCCCCTTTAAAACAATATATTCTGTGTTTGGTTTTAACTTGGATGGATCTGAGGTAGCTGTTTGGGATAACATTACAACCAGATCCTTTATACAGCGTTAAATGACTGAAAATTGTCCTTTTCAGAATTTCAAACAAGCTTCCTTTTAACATGATATCCCTATCAAGTGCTTTTCTAAAGTTCATACAATTCACATAGAGCTTCCACTCAGAGGGGAACTCCTTGAGGATTTTGAAGTTAGCCCTGTGATAAATTCAAGCCCATCCTTCTCAAAATCAGAGTACTCAATTCCAAATTAGATGTTTGCTAATTCCATTCTCTAACAAAAATCTTGTCAGAAATCTGGCAGTATAGAAACGTCGTGTTCCAGACTCTTCCTCATCTCTCCAGCTTTTACACTTTGAAATACCTAATTTCTGCAAGGATTGAAACAAAAGATCTTTCTCCTCCTGTGAGGGGAGGGACATCTTCCTCTTCCCAGGTTGTACCTAAAATTCATTCATTTTGGTATAGACTACTACCCTCTTTGATGAAGGATTAGAACACTATTTATAGTAGGTGCTTAAAACCAGGCTTCCTGAACCCGTGGAAAACAAATGCGCCAGATTTTATTCTTTTGTTCTTTTAATAAACTGTCCGTGAGATTCATCCCCTCCCCTCCTTTCCTGCTGGTTTACTTGCATTCTTATATGTTCAGTGTTTTTCTCTTCTGTCTTTGTTCCAGTTTATCAGCAATTTACACACAGTTGTTTCCCAGACTCCATGATTTCAACAGCAAAAATAACACTGACCTTTTGAGCCCATGAGCAATCTTGTTGGTGGTAATTTAGCAGAAAGTTACAGTAATGAACAAGAACTCTGCTCTTAAATGTTAGATCACTAAATGTGTTTTATGAGTCTTTATTACTTCTTTAATGCACTTCCTGCACACCAGGGAGACAGCCATATTCCAGGGGAGGATGAAGTTTTTAATTGGTGAAGTAGCCAATTTGTGTATCTCTTATGCTTTAAAGATACATTTTCAGGTGTGATTCAGTCAAAGCAATCAAGGAAAATGTTTCTAGCTAGAAAGACAAGAACACTAACAACAGAAGGGATCTTCCAAAGATATATTAACTCTGAAAATTGTGAGCTGGGCTTTTCCTGTGGGAGGGAGGGGAGAGTGGCTAAAAACTTAAGATTTCACTGCTCAGATTTGGGGCCGCCTGGGGACTGCTTTGGTCCCAGGCATGCCTGAAAGCAGACAAAACGTATTGTCAACAATAAACTTCCTCAGTTTTCAGCCATTTCCCCTCACCCAGCCTTCAGAAGAGCAGGAAGTCAAAAGCAGAGGACACAAAGCCAACTAGATGAGGTTTATACCTTGGCTCTGCTGCTCTATAGGTGATTGTACCTATGGCTGTTGCAGAGTTCACAGTTAAGACAGGTAATCTAAACGCAGGGTGGGATTTTCCATCCATATCAAATTCACTCAAATTCACTTTGGCATAAGTTTACATACAGACCCATTTCTAAAACTCTAAAACACTCGAAACAGTGCTTGTAAGGATTTAAGTAGCATTAGGAAGAAAGCTTTGTCTGTAAAGGCAAAAACGCAAACCTCAAAAGCCCCACCAGAGTTAAGTGTTTTTAGCAGGAGGTACAAAGGAGTGACTTTAAAACAGAGAATTTTGGTTTTCCTGCATCACAGCACCCTTAAACCAAAGCAGGAGAGACAGGAAGGTTACCAATTCCCTTCTTTTAGCTGTGTATTAAGGAGCCTGAAGCTAGTGTTTTATCTTCCCTCTGTATTTTAGACCTTCTCCTCTCCTACACTTCTATTATGCTAATTCCCCTTCACTGCCTGTCTTTTACACTTGAAATGTTTTGAATCAGGTGTGTTTCAAGATAATTGTGTTATATTTCCACAGGAAGCAAGGGAATTTGTATTTGAGGTGAAGCAATGTAGAGAGCTGATTGCAAGTAGAATTCAGTATTTTATTTTGTGGCCATTGGAAAAGGACATTATAGAAGATAATTTTAAAGGGTATTGCAGCATTAAAAAAGCAAGCTTAGACAGAGCACCAACATCATGTGCCCTTGCAGGACACATCTGTGCCCACCCAAATCCCTTGAAAGGTGTTAATGACTAGGAGCGTGACACTGGGGATTTCTGAGGCAGCTACCGGATTAGGGACATGAGATATTCATTTATTTAGCTGCTCTGGGGAATTCTGTGTGACCAATTTCAAGGACTGACAGGTGAAGAAAGTGTCAGAAACATGATTCACATGTTGATAGTAGCAGGGTTTGTAAGAAGCTGGGTGTTTCAGAGGGAGAACATGTACTTGCTACAGCCTTAGGAAGGACAGGCAGAAATGCTGCCTTTAATCCTGCCTATGAGCACTAATTTGTGAAGCTGTTAAGCCTTTCCTCCTATCTTGGGCTACAGTGGAAAGGCTTTGTTTGTTTAAATCTTTTCTTGGGTCTTTCCCGATTTTAGCCTGAACTCCAGATATTTGGCTCTTAAATTCATTCTCCAGGGTGCTTCTGACTAATGCCAGGGTGCTATTGTGGGGTTTTACAGCTCTTGGGAACAGTCTTGCAGCACAGTGGGGACCAGCACTACCAAAGCCCAGCTTTAGCTCTGTGATGGTGTCTGTGCAACACAGGGTTTCAGCACAGAAACACACGAGAACTATTTCTGTACAGATTGAACTGTGTGGTCCTGACTTCTACACCCAACTTTATGGACCACCCTGGCTGAGGGCAATGGAGATGAAAAGCATGTGCACTTCAGAACTGTCTTGAAGGAATTTTCCCTCGTTTTGAAGCGCTTTTGTTCCATAAAATACTTACTTTCCTCTAAATCAGTTATTACAGTTTGGGTTCATACCAAAAAGTTCAGCTGTTTCCCAAAACAATTACTTGGTCCAGGTAATGCAGAACTGGGAAGTTTAAAAACAGAGGTTTGAAGAAGAATCAGATCTGGGATCTGGATTCAAGCATCCTACTTAACAGATAATTGCAATGACTGAGGTGGAACATTCAGACTTAAACCCAAGCCCTCTAATATGCTTTGTCTGGGATATGGAAGGCATCTTCCTTTATTAGGTTACTTTCCTGCTCCACATTAACATTTCGTGCTTTGAAGGTTTATTGTGTTGGCTGGAGTTATACCTTTATGTACACGCAGTCCCTATGGAATAGCCTGATCTCCTTTCATCATTATTAGTAATTCTAGGCTTGTCATTTCCTATTCATGCAGTCTGGACCTCACTGCGTTGTTGCAGGATGGTTGATATGGTGCACAGGAAATGTTCTGTTTTTTCAGGTCTCCACTGTTCCTAAGTATTCTTTTCAGGGGCTTCAGTTTTATTGCCATGAAGTCCATTTCCTACATGTAGTACAATTTACTAAATTACAAATAAACAAGGCACCAATAGAGAAGTCAGTGAAAGTTCACACTAAGAATAGAACTTGAAGAGAAAAGTTCAGTTATGTGACCTTCTTCAGGAGCTGGATACAAAATAGACCTGCTGTTTTTCCCTTTAATTTGCAGTCCAGGCAGAAAAGAACTTGAACAGTTCCCAGAGAAACCCAGGCCCTTCTGTTTGTTTCTATGAATCCTCCAGAAATGCTTTATCTGTTGACATCCTGCCTATGCTGATATGGAAATGAACTTACTTGGCCTCCTTATTTCCCCCCTATATTGTCAGCTGATTTTTTCATTGATCTCCCTCCCTGCAATGTTTAAAGATCTGCCAGCTATGAACAGAACAAAATGTTACAGATAGGTACCTTTAAAATTGGCCATTAAAGAAAATTAAGATCACCAGATGAAAAATCTAATATATGTATCAGTCACTGCTTATTATTGCCCTTCAGGAATTTTCTTGTTTGGGAAAGAAAAGTAGTTTCACTGAAGCTTTTTCAGTTAAAAAGTGAATTAGAGAAAAAGAATCATGTGCCTCCAAGTGCCTTGATGAAACCAGACTAGCCCTGGATGCTTTCTGCCTAAAGTTAAATATTAGACACTCTCTCCCTGACACTCTTTTTTTATTTAGTCTAAAAGGCTTAATATTTAACTCAAAATACCTAACAACTGCAAATGCTTAGTGCTGAAAGCTGTTACATCCTCCAGCAGATACATAAAGCAGTGCTTAAACTCAGTGGGATATATTTAGAGATGTGTAGCCATCCCTGGACTTCATGTTCCAGTTGAATCAGAAACGCAGCTGCTATGTTGTGAACTTGTGTGTTTTTTGAAGCAGAAGGCATGGCCAGTGGTTCACTGGGAATAACTGCTTTAAACAGGGTGTCTGCCTTGTACCTGCAGAAGGAAATGTCCTTTATTTGATGCATTTTCATTTTGTCCCAAGGTCTTAATTGGCTCAATCCTTTATCTGACATTAAGTCTGGTTTTTGAATGGATTTCCAATTATAATGGGCTCAAAATCCACGTTAAAGTTATTTATTACTGGCTCATGTTCCGAGTTTTACTGCAACTTCAATGGACACACATATCCATGAGAACCACTGCCCCTTTATGACCTATTTCCAAGCCTTTTTGTTGGAAAGGTATCATTAGAAAAAGCACCTGAAGATGTTCTGCGTTTAGATGGATTATGTCAGAAGCACAAGGGAAGTCACAAGTAGCCAGTAACAGCCACTTCCCCTGGACATCCCATCAGCAGGACTGATGGAACTAGGGCTGGTGATATTTTTTCCTTTTCTTTCCTTACCTTCCTTATTTTTCTTTCTTTATCCTCCTTTCTCCCTTCACTTTCACTTTTTCTTTTTTTTCCCCTCTTTTCTCCTCACTTTCCCCCTCTTTCTCTCTTTCTTTCTACTCTGTGCTCATATAATAGGTCAGGAACCAACGCAGCGGATTCCCACGCCAAGTGAACTTTTGTGGACTCTCCGACTTTTTTGGTTCCTTTCGACCACGAGCACTTAGGAGTTCTGGGCGCTCCGTTCCCCTTTGTGACCGGCCCCGCTCCAGGAGCGCCCAGAGCCCGGCCATGGCCCCCGCCCGCCCCTCAG